ATGGTTATGTCACTAGACTCCCACATAGTCTTCAATTGTTCTAGTCCCGGACCTGGTGACTTGCTTTCTCACTTTCCCTTTCTCTTTCTCTCTGGTCAAATTAAAAATAAAAATAATCTAATAATAACAGCAAGTAAAATAAAATAAATAACTCTTTAAAAAAAAAAAATTTTTTTTTCCCCCACAGAAATACTTGGTATTTCATTGGCTATTGATGAAAACAAAAGCATATTTTTCATAAAAATTAATTTTAAAATCCACATGGAGGGCCAGAAAGTTGCATGGTGGTTAAGATACTGGACTCCCATGTGGCCAACTGCAGTTTGAGTCCTGGAACCAGTGGCTTGGAATTCACACTGGGCACATATGTGTGAATATCCAAAATCCTGAGATGAGAATGGAGAAGAGATTGCTGAATATCTATGCCCAGAGGGTGATTTCTCAGTTTCCCTCTCTTTTTCTCTTTTCAGCAAGCACAACCAGCCTATGGCAAAAAACAAAACAAAAAAACCAAAACCAAACCAAAACCAAACCAAAACAAAACCTTAAAAATTATACGCAAAACATTTTTTTTTCAAATAAAAAAATTTTAAATCTGGGACTAGCAGATGGCATAATGGTTATGTCACTGGATTCCCACATAGCCGACCAGGGTTCAAGTCCCGGATCCAGCGACTCAAAACTCACACCAGGCGCACACGTATGCATGCTCAAAATTCAGAGAGGAGAATGGAGAAGGGATTGTGGAGTGCCCATCCCACTGGGGGGTGATTTTTCACTTTCCGTCTCTGTCACTCCAGCAACTACCATGTGCCCTATAGCAAAAAAAAAAAAACACTAAAAAAAAGGGGAAATCTTCATGGACAATTATAAAGCAAAGCACATACATAGAAGAGAGAGAGGAAAAAAAGACAAATTAGAGAATGCTATGCTTAACAATGTTTTAAATTAAGTAATGTAGTTGGTTTTATACCTGTAGATATTCCTGAAACTCTTCTCTCTTTGACTTTAAGAATTCATAATTTTTGGGGCCAATGATCCTCTTGGAAGGAAGCTGGGCATCAGGAAACGTACCTGAAATAAGTACATATTAAAGTGATTATTGGGGCTGGCAGGTGGTGTGGTGGTTAAGGGGGCTGGACTCCCACACGGCCAATCGTGGTTCAATTCTAAGACTTGGTGGCTTGCGTTCTCACTTTCTTGCTTTCTTTCTCTCTCTGGCCAAATAAAAAATAAATAATAAAGTTGAATAAAATGATTCTTTAAACAAATGTTACTATTATATTCTGCTATTATTTTTTAAATCTAATTTAAAATATACTGTAGTAAATCCAGATTCACAGCAATGGCTTGTATAGATAAGACATGATTCTTTAAATAATCCTCACAAAATCAGAGACCTTCAAGCCAGAAATCAGGACCAAAGAACTTGAGTCTACAGATAACAAAAATATCACTCTCTCAACAACCACTCTTCATTGACAAAGATCTTTTAGCTTCTGTACTAGCAAAACAGCTTCAAAAAATGATGTTGAGATTATTTTAAATTGGTGAGATTCTATTATGCAAAATCTTACTAAAGAAAAACCTACTCTCTTATGGGAAAAAAGGAAGTATTTATTTTGTCAATGCTATCTAAGCTTAAAAACAAAATTTTAAAACCTCAGATATGCTTTCTCAGGGCAGACTTTGGAAATTTTAGTCTCAAAAAGACACAAAAATGCTGGGAATCCAACAAACTTTGGTGATCCAAGATTATAACGTATGAAGAGAAATGATCTTCTCTTCATCTTAAATAACAACAGAAAGTTCTCATGACAGGCAAGCAGGTGGCATGGTGGTTAAGGCACTGGACTCCCACAAGCCCAACTGTGGTTCAAGTCCTGTACCCGGTAGCTTGCTTTCTCACTTTTCCTCTGTTTCTGTCTCTTTCTCTCTCTGGTGAGTTCATGTGCCCTGTAGCAAATTAAAAATAATAATGATAAATGAAATTAAATAACTATTCTTTTAAAAAGTTCTCATGGAAATAATAAGGAAAGAATGGCACTGTGCAAGAGTGCAAAAAGAAAAAGAAAAATCTGGCCAGCCCTATAACCTAGTGGTTAAAGAAGACAGATCCCGAATGGCCAGCTACAATTCAAATTCTGGCCCCAGCAGCTTGAAAAACATGCTGGGTGCATGTGAGTGCATGCCCAAAGTCCTAAGAGGATGAAGGAATGAAGAAGGGATTAAGGTATGACTCTTCCCCACTGGAGGGTGCTTTCTTCTCTCTTCCTCTCTCCCCCTGACAAGTACACATGCCCTCTGGCAATTAAACAAAAAGAGAGAAAGAAAATCATGTGAAGACAAGTACAAACTCAAAATCCAGGTAAAAACGATGGAGTGGGTCCGTACAATAATCACTTTATCAAAGGCTTTACTAGTATGGCAAAGTAAAGAAGGGCCCTAGCCTTCTCAATTCAGAACCAATCTGAATTTGAATCAGGGGACACACCACAGAGCTTATCTAAAATAAGGATTCAGAAGTCAAAAACAAAACTCACCAATTTAAGTAGAAAATAGCTGATAATATCTTATAATTATATTCCTATCATAATAAACAAATAGATAAGAGAAAGAGGAAGAACTAAAAGGGAAGAATGCTTTCCGTTTTCAAATGATCTACCCTCAAGGAAACTCAAACCTAAGCTTTGTTTCTACATCTAAATCTAAGAGCTAAATCAGATTGTTGGCTATGATGTACAGCAACATATTCATCAAAGAAGATGGTAGTAAAAGCACAAAGCAACTCTAAAATTACTGGCATAAATTCTCTGCCAAATCAATTTTCTTTCTTAGAGACTTTTTTTTTTTTTGCTACATGGTGTGTGCACTCACCAGAGACAGAGACAGAGAGAAAGCATTCCCCAGGAGGAAGGGCCACATCGCAGTCCCTTCTCCTCCATTCTCCTTTCGGGATTTTGGAAACACATGCACATATGCCTGGCTTGAGTTTTAACCCACCGGGCCCTTTTTCAAAAATAATTATTTAATTTCATTTATCAAGTTTTGAACCATGCTCAACTACGTGAGTGTCCAGCAACGTAACCATTATACCATCCGCTGGTCCCCCAATTTTAAATTTAAAAAAATTTTTGATTTTATGGGACTAGCAGATGGCATAATGGTTATGCCGCTAGACTCCCACATAGTCGTTCTTGGTTCAAGTCCCAGATCCAGCAGCTTAAAATCCATGCTGGGCATGTGTGTAATCGTGCCCAAATCCCAAGAGGAGAAGGGACTGCAGCGTGGCCCTCCCTCTAGGAATGATTTCTCGCTTTCTGTATCTCTGTCTCTCCAGCAAGCAGTGTCCTATAGCAAAAATCTCCAAATTAAAAAAAAAAAATTAAAATTGGACAGAAAAACGTTTTCTAAAATAGAAAGAATAACTATCTTTTAAATTTTAATTTTATCATGCCAGCCAGTGGTGTGGAGGTTAAGGTACCTGGATCCCACATGGCCAAATGCATGGTTCAAGTCCCAGACCCAGTAGCTTGAAAATCATGCCAGACACATGCACAAATGTGTCCAAAATTCAAAGAGGAGAATGGAGAAGAAGGGATTGCAGCGTGGCCATCCCTCCCCTCTCTCTCGGGCGAGCACACATGCCCTGTAGCAAACATATATATATATATATATATATAAATATACATTTTAACTTTATTATAAACATGCACTATAAAAACTTTAAAAATATTATAAAATACATTCCCTATTATCAATAAAAGTATACACAAGAATCCCTGTTAGATTTCTTTGATATGATTACTTAAAATTTAAAGAAAGATCAATCTGGGAACCAGCAAATGGCATAATGGTTATATTGCTGGACCAAAGTTCAAGTCCCCAACCTGGCAGTTTAAAACTCACGATGGGCACATGTGCATGGGAGCCCAAAATCCTGAGAGGAGAATGGAAGAGAAGTGATTGTGGCATGGTCATTCCCCCTGGGGAGTGATTTCTCACTGTCTCTCTGTCTCTGTCTACCCAGCAAGTGCAAGCACCCTATAGCAAAAATCTCTCTTAAAAAAAATAAATAAATCTGGCACAAAAGCTTTCAAAAAGGCTAATACTGAAATTTAATCTTTTATGCAGAAAGAATAACATACCATGAAATTCTGTTAATTTTGATTCAAGCACATAAAACTCAAGGTATCTTCTATAGACAGACCAATGTTCAGGCTCATGCCCAACTGTAAAATGAATGAATGAATGCATAATGAATAACAATTTTATAACCCATTACTAAAAGGATGCAATATGTAAGACATGAAGAATAGAAAGCTAGAAATTACTGTACATTTTTCATTTTTGTTATCACATTATTAACATATGTGATTTCTTATTTTAATTTTAAATTACTTAGAAAAGATTAATAAGTTTCAGCTATTTATGAAGCTATCACTAAAAAGAATACTTTTTCTACAATGGAAACAGAGCTGGTTCTTAAATTATGCAATCATGATTATTTTTAAAACATTTTCAAAGTGATAAAAGTACTTCATAAAAATTTATAATTGATTTTGCATCTCTCAAATATTTACCAAAATGACCTGATCTCATAAAGTACAGAACAATGCTAATGAAATTTTCTGTGATTATGAAAATGTTCTATATACCTGTAGTAATATATAGTAGCTATTAGCCACACACTGCCTTTGAACACTTTAAATGTGGCTAAAGCGACTAAGAAACTGGAATTCTAATGTAATTTAAATGATCACTTATAAATAGTGGCTACAAAACTGGACAACACAAAGTAACAGTATAAGAAAAAGTATCGGAACGACTATTCTAATCCCAGCATATCCCCTATCCCACTTCATTTACTTACCATGTGGCCTTGAACAAAGAGTTTAACCTCACCATACCTTAGTTTGCTTAGATGTAAAAGAATTGTGTCCTATCACATAAAATAATCCACGTAAAGTACTTTTGTACAGTATACTGCACAGAATACCCGAAAGTGTTAACTGCTATTTTTAGCATCTCATGTCATTCTAGCATACAGATTTGAAAATGCAAGGATCATGTCAACCAAAACAACAACCGCCCCCCAAATACATCTTCTACTTTTAAAAAAAGTTTTGCCATAGGACCAGCAGTTAGCGTAACGGCTATGTCGCTGGACTCCCATGTAGTCAACAGTCGAGTCCTGGACCCAGTGGCTTAAACTCATGCTGGGCATATGCGCATGCATGCCCAAGATCCCGAGAGAATGGAAGAGAAGGGACTACAGCGTGGCCATCCCCCCCCCCGGGGGGTGATTTTTCACTTTCTGTCTCTCTGTCTCTCTCTGTCCTTCTGGTAAGCACACATACCCTAAAACAAAAACCTCTCCAAAAAAAAAAGTTTTGCCAGAAGGCATGTGCTTCTTGGCGGGGATGGAAAGAGAAGGAAGGAAAGTGAGGAAGGAATCCCCTTTCCATTTCCCTCTCCTTTTGGGATTTTTTGGGCATACTCGCACATGTGCCTGGTATGTTTTTCAAGCCACTGGGTACAGGACTCAAAGCATGCAGCCAGCCATGTGGAATTCAGCCACTTTAACCACCATGTCACTAGATGGCTCAAAACAACACTTTTATTCAAGAAAAACCAACTTGATACAGTCACAACCTATAAATATGCAAATTCTAATTTTCTTCCTTAATGCTGGACTTAAAAGACACATTATTGGAGGACCAGCAGTTGGTGTAATGACTATGTCACTAGACTCCCATGCAGTCAACTATAGTTCAAGTCCCGGACCCGGTGGCTTAAACTCACTCTGGGCATGTGTATGTGCATACCCAAGATCCCGAGATTCCTACCTGCTCTTCTATCATTTCTTTCAACATCAATACAAAACACAGGAATTCTCTCTTTTTTCTCCTTCCTTTCAGAGGAGGGATCCTCAAAAAAGTCTACATATGGAATGCTAATTTTCCATGCAGCAAGGTTTCGAGGAGTATTAGGTGTGCTCACAGCCTCCACCGGAGAATCATCTTCCATTACAACAATACCTTCTTCAATCTGGAAAAAAATTACCAGATTAGTTTAATATTTCCAGTACCTTCAGAATTATAATAAATTAGTGATAACAAGTAATATGCCCATATCAATTTGATGACTTGTTAGACTTTGGGAACAAGGTAATATTGAATTTTCTACTAAAAAAGTAAAGACAAAAAGTTAAAAATAGGGCCAGCAGGTGATGTGGAGGTTAAGGCACTGGATCCCACATGGCTGACTATTCAATTCAAGTCTGAGACCCAGTGGCTTATAAATCACACCAGGCACGTGCACGAGTGCACACATGCTCAAGGTCATAAGAAAAGAATGGAGGAGAAGGGACTGTGGCACAGCCATCCCCCTGGGGTGTGATTTCTCACTTTCATTCTCTCTATCTCTCTCTGGTGAGAGCATACTGCCTTTAGAAAAGAAAAATTTAAAATAGCAAGCTACTAAAATCAATTCTATGTTTCATTACATCAACTTATGAAAATAGGGAATGAATATTTCAAAGATTAGGGAAAAATATTAAAAATACCCAATATAAGAAGAATGTCAACCTTGGTAATATAAATATTACTATACTAGTGGGGCCAGCAGGTTGTGTGGTGGTCAAGATGCTGGATCCCACATGGCCAACTCCTGGTTTGAGTACTGGACCTGGTCGCTTGATAAATAAGCTGGGCACCTATGTGTTCATGCACAAAATCCCAAGGGAAGAATGGATTGCAGTGTGGTCAGCCCCCCTGGGAGGTGATTTCTTACTTTCCCTCTCTGTCTCTCTTTGACAAGCACATACATGCTATAGAAAAACTAAAAGAAAAAAAAAAAGTCAAAATACTGCCATACTGCCTGGTGGCAGTTGGTAGCAAACAGAATTGCAGTGCTGGAAGCCACATATCAACTTCAGGTTTGAATCCCCAAGTCATCCTGAAAATACATCAAAAATATACATGATCTTGCCCAAGATCTTTTTTTTTTTGGAGAGGTTTTTGCTACTAGGGCGCATGCGCTTGCCAGAAAGACAGAGAGACAGAAGTGAGGACTCACCCCTCAGGGTGGATGGCCACACTGCAATCCCTTCTCCTCCATTCTCCTCTCGAGATCTTAGGCACGCAAGCACGCACACACACACGCCCAGTGTCAGTTTAAGACACCAGGTCCGGGACTCAAACCGCGATCGACTACATGGGAGTCCAGTGATGTAGTCGTTTCACTAACTGCTGGTCCCACCTTGCCCAAGATCTTGATGAGCTGGAGGACTGGGGAAATGAGATCATAGTATAACAAAACCCTATCAAGATGCTTTTCTCTCCCTTACTCTTTCTTATGCACATGCTATCATAAATAAAACCTTAAAACTTAAAATAGATTTTAATATCTAAAAATATTGTAATTTTTTTTCTTAACTTTTAATGAGAGAGAAACAAGAGAGATGGGGGAGACAGAGAGAGAGGTATTTTTGACAGGGTCTTGTCATAGCACAATTCCCCTGCCTCTCTGTTAGCTAAGATTCCAGACACACATCCCTGCACCCAGTCTGTTTTAGATGTCTAGAAAACAAACCCACGTCTCCTATGGAACCCCAGCCTCACAGAGAAGTGTCCTACTGCCTGTACCACCTGGTTGGGCCATAAATAACAATTATTTCTTTTTTTTTAAAGTATTTATTTATTTATTTATTTTACATTCATTTACTTTACATCACAGCATACAAAAAGAGATTTCCCATCCAGAATACACTGTATACTGGCTTAATAAAGGATATCACCAAAAAATATGGAACGCTCACGAATTTGCGTGTCATCCTTGCGCAGGGGCCATGCTAATCTTCTCTGTATCATTCCAATTTTAGTATATGTGCTGCCAAAGCGAGCACAGTAACAATTATTTCTTAAAAGAAAACCACATTCTCCACACACATGCACATAAGACAGGAGGAACAAGCTGTCCTGTCTCTAAATTGGAAGATATTCTTTGATTTTGGCATATTATAAACATGTAATCACCTAGACATCCCTTATACATGTTAAAAATGGCAAAATATTATAGATAAAATGCATTCATGGCCCAGATGTGGTAGCACAAGAGTAGCACAACATTCTGTAATGCTGGAAGCCTTACACAAGACTGGGGTTTGGTTCTCACGTTGACCTGGGAACAGTGGGCACATCCATGTATGTCTATGATCCTGGTTGGATTGAAAGGCTGGGGTCAGGGAGACTGCAGAATAAGACCATGCTTAGCGGATCAGAAGATGGCGTAAAGGTTATGTTGTTGGATTCCCATGTAATCGACCGTAGTTCAAGCCCTGGACCCGGCAGCTTAAAACTCACATTGGCCACATGTGCGTGCATGCCCAAAATCCTGAGAGGAGAATGGAAAAGAAGGGATTGCGGTGTGGCCATCCCCACTGGGGTGGTGATTTCTCACTTTGTCTCTCTTCTCTCTCTGTGTCAAAACAAAACAAAAGCACGTTGTTAAGATGCTTGTCTCTCTCTCTCCCCAATGAAATAAACAAACAAAGGCTGCAGTACTTAAAAGAACTCTGAATAGCCTAATCAGAACATACCAGTAGTAGAGAGGAATTTTATTACCAGAATTCTAGTACACTACTTTCACTCTAGGCTTTTTTTTGTTCTTGCCCTAATCTGGCTTTCTATAATCTTTAGTGAGAAAATTATTCTCTAATGAGGACTTAATGCTCTACTGAAACCAAATTCAAAGCCTAAAAAATAAAACTATAAAACAGGTGACAGGTGGTAGATTCTGTTCTTTTATAGGGCAACATTAACTTTTTATACATTTACAAGAAAAACAGAAAAAAGTATATGCGAGCAAAATGCCCACTTCATTTTCAAGGAAGCATTTTCGATGGCTATTTCAACTGTGTTTTGTTAATGGATCTGGTTTCTGGGGAAAGAGGGTAAAATGAATCTTAAAACTAGAGAATTTTTTTAATAAAAACTGACTAAAAGCCAAAGAACAAAACTGTTCTTTTTTCTAAGAGATTTTTGCCTTAGGGAGAGAGACAGAGAGAGAAGAGGGAAAATGAGAAATCACCTCCTGGGGAGGTATAGCCATGCCACAATCCCTTCTCCTCCATTCTCCTCCTAGGATCTTGGGAACACAAACACACACACCTGGCATGATTTTCAAGCCACTGGATCTGAGACTCATACAGCAGTCGGCCACGTGGGAGTCTAGCAATGTAATCACTACACCATCTGTTGGCCTTGACATTCTCTCTTTTTTTTTTTAATTTGCCAGAGGGCACGTGCACTCACCAGAGATAGAGGGAGGGAAAAGGATATAGCACCCCCCCAATGGGGTGGGTGTGGTCATACCACAATCCCTTCTCTACCATTTCCTCCACCCTTCCAGGATTTAGGCATGCATGCATACGTGCCAGCATGTTTTTTAAGTTGCTAGGGCTGGAATTCAAACCTTGTAGTCAGCCATGTGGGACTCAACTTCTTTAACCTCCAAACCACATGACTAGCCTCAGAACATTCTTAAATAAAAAGAAGTGTCACAAAAATCAATAAAAAAAAAAAAAAAACAACGAAAGAAATAAAATGGAGGGGATTAGCAGATAGCGTGGTAGTGAAGGCACTGGACACTCTCACATGGCCAACCATGATTTAAGTCCTTGACCTAATGGCTTTCTTTCTCATTTTCCTTCTCTCCATGTCTCTCTCTGGTCAAATGAAAATAAATGAATGAACAAATAAAATTAAATTAAATAATTCTTCCCCAAAAAAGGCAAAAAAAGGAGAACAAAATTGTTAGCAACATAAACATATCAATGAATGACATAATCAGCAGTTGGCATAATGTCTGTCGCTGGACTCCCATGCCGTCAATCGTGGTTGAGTCCCGGACCTAGCAGCTTAAACTCACACCAGGTGCATGTGCATGCTCGCCCAAGACCCCAAGAGGAGAATGGAGGAGAAGGGATTGCGGTGTGGCTATCCCCCTGGGGGATAATTTCTCGCTTTCTATCTCTCTGTCTTTGTCTTTCTGGTGGGCCCACGCACCCTATAGCAAACCCCCCCCCCCAAAAAAAAACCAGAATGAATGGGGCCAGTGGGTGGTGTGGTACTTAAGGTGCTGGACTCCCATATGGCTGATTACGGTTTAAGTTCCAGACCTAGCAGCTTGCTTTTTCCCTTTTCCTCTCTCTGACTCTCCCTGATCAAATTAAAAATAATAGTAAATAAAATTAAATTAATAATTCTTTTAAAAAAATCAACGAATAGCAAATTTTGCAATTTATTATTGTTGCCATATAAATAATGTTTATATCAGGAAAATCTAATGAAAAATCTCTAGAGCAATATATCTCTTTCTTTTTCACTGTTTTGTTTTTATTGAGAGAGGGGACACGTCCTCACCAGAGAGAGGATGAGAAAAAGTACCCCTCTAGGGGACAAGGTCATGCCACAATCCTTTCTCCATTACTCCCTCCCTTTGGGATTTTGAGCACACACACCTACACGCCTGGTGTGTTTTTCAAGCTGCCTGATGTTAAACTCAAACCACACAGTCAACCATGTAGGATCCAGTTCACTTAGCATGTGAGCACTGGCTGGCCCTTTAGGGCAGTGTATTGCTAAGAATTTTCAGGGCTTTCTTCAATGTTATTTGAAAATAAGTTAAGTACTGTAATTAAAATATTAATAAAAGAAAGCAAAGTACATTATTATTTTCAAATAGATGCTTTCTTTACCAAGAAGACGGAGTAGTGCCACCAGGTGGCACTGAGGTTAAGGCACTGGATTCCACAAGGTCCAATGCACAGTTCTAGTACTAGACCCAGCAGCTTGGAAATCATATAGGGTATGTGTGCATGTATGCTCAAGATCCCAAAAGGAGAATGGAAGAGAAGGGACTACAGTGTGGCCATTCCTTTGCAGGGTGATTTCTCACTTTCTCTCTGGCAAGTGCACATGCCCTATAACCAAAAATTAAAAAAATAAATAAAATAAAATAAAATAAAATAGAAAAAGGAGTAAAGG